GGAAAAGATTTTTGAAAAAAGTTTACAGACCATAGACGAGTGACGGTCGAAAAATGGACCCAACGTGATGTTGGAACCTAAAAAGGGTCTTTCGGCCAGGTGAGCTAAAAATGGGAAACAAATTAAAGAAACTTTATATTTAGAGGATAAACTTGATAAACTTTCAACAACAGAACTAGAAAAGAAAACCAGAAGTTCCTAAAATTAAATAATGGTGTGAGTGTATTGTCCTTTATACCTACTGAAACATTCATTAGATAATGTATAAACTTTAGACTTCTCAAGCACCCCTGATGAATATTAATCAAGGCAATTGCTTTATACACAATTAATTCATTGTTTGCAATAATCTAATTTTATGTCTTTTTGACATATAATTCAGTGTTCATGCTAATGGTGCATACACAAGGCTTAACATTACCGTTTGTCCGATTGTTCGACAAATAAAATTAGGAATTGGACAAGTAGAACCTACATATTAGTTGTCCAATGGGATAGGTAAATAAACTAGAACATACTCCCTTCATTGATCTACAATTATTGATTCTACATTACTTCTAAAGTGTTGGATAACATAATTATCAATTTAAGTGCACTGGTTTGCAATCATTCAATAACTACTTGGCTTTTTTGACAACTATATTGCTGGCATGGCTGGTAAACGTACTTAAAAATCAAGTATTTGTAAACAGGTAGTAAATATCTGAGAAATGTATGCCCTACAATCATTCCATTCACCAAATATAGTTAACCTCAGTTTGCTTATAGTATCTGCGAAATAAACAATACCAGGAAAACTAAACTTTGACCAATGAACCATGAAAACGAGGTCAATAAAAAATTAAGGAGATGTGGTACGATTGCCAATGAGACAACTATCCATCAGAGTTCAAATAAGTGGACATAAGCAATTATAGGTCATCGCAAGGCCTTCAACGATGAGAAAAAAAACCACACCATATGATAGTATATTTAAATTTAAAAATCATTGAGAGTTTTTTTTTAATGAGACTGAGTGATAATTGCAATAATAAGAACCTGCATTCTGATATCTGATAAATATATCTCTATGAAGCTTTTCATGAAATCACAAATATTAATCTCGCATTTTAGTTCAATCTTCAAAAAATCGCAATAATGAATGCACGCAAATATCTGAATTTACAGTAAGTAGTTGGCCACAAAAGGACTTGACATGAAAAGTTCACATGAACTCTGCCAGACAAACATATACACCTAACACTTAAATACCAAATATAGATGACTTAATGCTTAAAGTACCTGAGAAACAGATCTAACTTTGAAAACATAAAAATGTTGACCAATGAACCATGAAAATGAGGTCAAGGTCAGATGTTAGATAAGTATACTTTTAAACCATTTCATACACAAAATATAGTTAAACTATTGCTTATAGTACCAAAGAAAGGGACTTAACCATGCAAACATAACATTGAGCAATGAACCATGAAAATGAGTTCAAGGTCAGATGACTCCTGCCAGACAGACTTATACACCTTACAATCATCCCATACACAAAATATAGTTGATCTATTGCTTACAGAATATGAGAAACGGATTAAACACAAATACCTCAACATTGACCAATGAACCGTGAAAATGAGTCAAGTTCAGATGAAAACTGCCAGACAGACATGTTCACTTTACAATCATTCAATACATCAAATATGGTTGACCTACTGTTTATAGTATCTGAGATACTGACTTGACAACGAAAACTTAACCTTGATCACTGATCCATGACATGATTGGATTGTGATCCTTCTATGACTTTTGTCTCAGGTGAGACAAAAATTATTGGTTTCTAACAGCTGTTATTTCAGCGGGTCATCTATACAATGGCTTCCTTTATCTTGAAGAAATAATTCTAGCAAAGTAGAACAATGCTTGTACTATAGCATCCTATAGAAAACCATATATTTGATGGTAATTACTATGTCATGTATTTCATATATTGGAAAGCTGCTAACGCTATAGCTCCATATTTTGTTATTATCTATTATAGTGATTAATCTCATCAATACATTGCAGTTAATTGCATGATGTCGTACAGAAAACATGTTATTCTGCAGTTCCTAGAGTTGGAGTATATCGTATAAAGTATTTTAACTACTAATATATACTAATGAAAACAAGGTTAAGAAAATTACCTTCCATCTTTTGTCCAGCGGTCACACTTGAAGATTTCTCTGACATGACAGTCTGAAAAATGAGGAATATGCACTGTAAATATATCCTCACTCATGTCACTTGTAGAACTATTAAATTTCTAAAATACAAACCCACTTAAAAATAATACATAATATAAATGTTTTACATTATATAAAATATATCAAACACATTTTCATATTTTTCAGGAAAATGTGTGGCCCAGAGAGACTTTAAAGAGTACAGGTTATTTTTGCATTTGTAAAATCCCCTTGCAGGTATTTTTGTTCACAAAAAATTACACAATGCAACAAGAATATTTGTGTTCAATTGAAACTGTGGACCAAAACCTGTTTTGCTGATCTTTTAGGCTTGACCAAGTTTTATAGTTTTAACAATAATAAACTGTTAACACAGAGATATGTCTCGCCTATTTGTTATTTTGATGTTGAAATTAAAATAACAATACTTTAACATGTAAGTTATGCAAATATTCAAAGTCAATGAACCATGACTAAAGGTTCAGGGCTAAACAATCTCCAATTGTGCCAATGCTAATACAACTGCATACCAAATACCATTGACTTATCATAAGTCGTTCCCTTTACAGAAACATAAACACAAACTTTAACTTGTAAACTAAGCAAAAGTTGAAAGTCAATAGACCATGACTGAAGGGGCGGGGCCAAATAATCTCCATGTAAATGAGATATGCCAATGCTTATACAATTGTATACTAAATATCATTGACCTACCACTAGTGGTTCCCCATACACTGACCTAATCACAAACTAATACATGTAAACTAAGCAAAGTTTCAAAGTCAATAAACCATGACTGAGGGGGCGGGGCCAATATAATCTCCATGGTAATGAGATGTGCCAATGCTAATACAACTGCATACCAAATATCATTGACCTACCACTAGTGGTTCACCATAAACTAGACCTAATCACAAACTTATACATTGTTGACGCCGCCGCTGCCGCCGGAAACAGCATACCTATGTCTCGCTTTTTGACTCCATCAAGGCAAGACAAAACGGGAGATTTCTTCCACCAAATCAAATACACCATAAAAGTTTCATAAAATTAGATTAAAGAATTCTACTGCTTTTGTACACATGTTATGCTATGATATGTCCAGTCTACGACTATGTCAGTATGTATAAAAGCAGTCAATTTAAAATGCGCATACTCCAACCAAATCTTGAACTCTGTATTTTTTCTAGGACATCCATGAACAATAAAACTGCTTCAATAGAATTATTGCCTCTATACATAGAAGACACATACATAAAATGGCATGCAATCACTTTCAGATTACTAATCGAAAATGTCTTCTGGATATTACAAATTTTCCAAGAAGCTTCATAGATTTCATAATGTACATACTAAGGTGGCATCTTAAAACAAGAAATATTGATATGTTAGCATGTTATGCTATGGTTGACTGACATTGATTATTGCCTGCTTAACGTCCAGTGGCCAATATTTCATGCTACATTGATCATGATGGATGTATCTATGAATACGTCAAGCAGTATATCCTCCATCACAACAAGGTACACTTTGACAATTACATCTGCAGATCTAGCTCTATATAATTTTTTTTTATCAAGTAAAAATCAAATGAAATTAAGCTGGAGTCCCAACTGAATATTTAATTTCTGGTAATCATGCATGAATAAAGAATGTGTTTTGTTCTGCACTGTGACTGATTAGTGTATTTTTTTTGTTTTTAAGGATGTACTTAGGTGAGGTTTAGGAATTTTTGTCAAATGTTTTTGGTTTTTTTCCTACGATACAGGGTAAAAGATTTTGCCTATTCCCGCCATTTTATAAAAATTACATATCTCGAAAAGGAGATCCATAACCTATCAATATTTTTAGCTTATTTTGTTACTTAACTAATGCTCTTTTGACTAATAGTATCAATTTTGATTTCTAGATTTCCTTAATTTCACCTAAGTACATCCTTAAATCCTTCATAGACAATGAAGGTAAGTGAACAATAAGTTTGAACATAACAATTCTTTCTAGTTTACAATTTTCTGTAACAAACAAGGCAATGTACAAGTTTTTCTAATTTTTGTTGTCTGATTTTGAATGGTACTAGGAAATTAAGTTAGTACGAATTTTAATAATGAACTTTTTTCAATTGTAGCAATAAATCTCTATAGTGTTTAAATCTGAAACTACACCAAGTGATACGAAGAAAAAGAATGTGCAAAAACAACAACATCGAGAAAAAGGAAAACAAAACTTAAGATGAAGAATTCTTTATTCTACCTAATAATAAATATTCATGAGTGTTAGACTTTATAAATATGCATGAACAGATCCTGAATTGACAAAACTATACATATAAAAAAATGAATATTACACTTATATAAAATAATCACAAATAAATACACATTACTAGACAACGGTAAAGCTTGAGAGAATAAAGACAGACACGCCAAAAAAATATGTACTGCAACCTTCTTATTGTAGAAGTTTTCAAGAAAAATCTAGAAAACAATGGCACAAAGAAGTAAAACTGACTTGAATTCTTAAACAAACTCACAAACTTTAATAATGTACGGGTGGGAGAATAACACAGGACATAACAGGGATATTGAGGATAATTTAATATTTGCTATTTGCTTTAAAAGAATCTTTTCAACTGTAACTAAATCAAATTGTAAAAACGCTTTTTACTCACATTTCAATATCTTATTTCAAATAAACTGCTTCGCTGAGCGCAGCTAAATATGACCGCAGAGGTTCAACCCTGAACAGTTGGTGCAAAAATGGACACAATATTCAAGCTTGATCATGTTGATACAGGTCTGAATGTGGATTGTAATTAAATATTTGACACTTTATAGGTTTTGACACAGAATAAATGTAGTCAAAGAACTTGAAATTAATTATATGATTTGAATTTATATTCAATTAAAGATTTCTTGCTGTTGTGCAAAACACTGTGCAGTTGTGCAATACTTAGTAAATCTGTTTTCAGACTATATTTCAAAGCAAAATAAATTGTGACCCTCAATTTATTTTTTTACATATCTCCCCCCCCCCCCTCCCACCACCACCAAAAAAAATAAAATAATATTTGAAGAAATTTTCTTTTTGTAAAATGTGGTACAATTTAAGAGACATCCATACACTTAAACACAAGTAATTGTCTGAAAACTAGAAAATCGCTTGTTTTGGCCCCTAATTCCTGAACGGTTTGTTCAATTACCCCCAAAATGATTCCCAACATTCTACTTGTTGTATTGTACCTTGTGGTACAATTTCAGAGTAATCAAAATACTTATACACAAGTTATTGTCCTGAAACTAGAAAAATGCTAGTTTTGGGCCCCTTTTTGGCCCTAATTCCTAAACAGTTTGGACCATAACACCCAAAAACAATCCCAACCTTCCTTTTGTGGTATTGAACCTTTTGGTTTAATCTAATAGAGATCCATACACTTAAACTAAAGTTATTTTCCGGAAACTAAATGTCTTCGGACGACAACGACAAGATAGTATCATACAAACGCAATTTTTTTGCGGTCGTATAAAAATTGCTTTTAAGTTGTAATGGACTAAAATGCCATATTATGCATGTTGACCGCAATGTACAAACTGATAGATATATATAACAATATACATTACAGTTTATACAGGGCATAACTCAATTAATGCGGGAAAATTCATGTATGTGTCTATTGCTATAAATAGACTAGAACTAGAAACATAAATACAAGATAAAAAATTGTAAAACTAAAATTCAAGCTCCGTTCAGAAAACAACAACTTATATATATGTGAGGTAACAATGAATAACAGTTAAGATGGTTAACAGTGCATAAAATCTGGCCACTTAGTCAAAATGTGTGGCTTTGATGACACATGGCCACACATGGAATTCTGTTAAGAGCCAAATAAGGTGATAGAGGCATAGGGAAGACCATTAAGTAACACAGTATTTTGAATGCAATGCAACAAACGTTTTACTTAAATATGTTCTACCAGTATGTCTCTTAGGCTGATGAATACTTAGGTTTTTTGTAAAGAAGATATTTACCACCATTCCACTACATTTTATAAGGGTCACTGCAAGGTATTACAGTAAAACAATAGAAAATATATCACCAATTTTTCCAAACAGAAAATAGAACCTAAAGATAAAATTTACTTGGCCTAATGGTCAAACTTTAACTTATAATTTTGAAGTATATTTGAATTTTTTTGGTTTTAAATTGATAAATATGCACCTGTTAACTTTTAATTGATTAAACAAAATATCGATTTTCATATATCACGATAAACATAGAACTTTTACAGGAAAAAATAATGCTGCAATTTAAACATTTGTACTGACCATAATAGCTTACTCAATTCTTTAACTGAAGAATCAACAAATTTTCATTACCAAATCCATAAAAGTGTTAACCACTTTTTTCATACTATCTTAACTTTATCAAGAGCTGCTTGGAAATTATGTGTATTGAAAGACAAATTGCTTAACTGAATACATTGCAAAATTCATCCAAATAACACCAGTTTCAATAACTAACAATTGTTTAGGAAGCTCTTTGATTAATTTCAGCTTGAACTTGTCAATTGCCTGAAATGTGTACACTTTTATGGTTTTGGTTGTAAGTCCGTATCATATCTTAAATCAGTTATTCAAGTAAGTATTTTTTTCCTTTTAACACAACTTTCTGATTATAATATGTTTATTACAGCCCTTTTATATTTTACTGAACTCAAGGAGATGTAGATTTTACTTGAGATAAGAATTCATGCAAGGTGTACAAAAACAATATTTAAAAAACTGAGTAATCTTATTCTTTCCCAAATACCAAATTTCTGCTGAATTAATGGGAGCAATGGAGCATGTTACAAAGCTCATGTTATGCATGTCATGGTTTATAAAAAAAAATATGGTCCCTAGGTTAAAGTTTGATTAATGTTGATATTGGACCCATTGTACAATGTATTCAAAGCAAGCAAATCCTTTACTTTATTTTCTGTATTTAAATACCAAATATGGATCCTAAGAGACACCTCCTTTAACATGTTTAAAATTTAGCAAAACAAGCCAAGTTTCAATTTTTTAATTTGAAAAGTTTCTTTTTTTCTCTATGAAAACTTGAACACAGTATCTATCCATTAAATGCACAAAATATTTTTCCTTCATCTTCTTGATTTATGTTGTTAATTTTCAACAATAATAATTGAAATCATGAATTGATTTGAATGAAGAAGCCCTGTTGAATCACAGAATGATTGTCAAAAATAAAGAAAAATAGTTGATCGTAAAACTACGCATAGCTGACAATTTTTTTAATCCAGTTAATCCAATGATTCAAATGAGCATGGAATTGAGGGAGGGATGTTTTTTTTTTGACAAGGGTCATTTATGGTTGCTTGTCCATTCAATAAATGCATTTTTTTCAAGGAAATTTATTTATTGTTTGGGGAATTCCTATGGGTACTAACCCTACCTCATCTATTTTAATGGAATTGCATTGACAAAAGAACCCAATAAATGGTATTGTGTGATGAATAGGACTTCAAATAACAACAATAAACAAAATACACATACACATGTTACCTCGAAAATATACAAAATCACAACGTATACATATAAATCAATTAAAATGCAGTTTCTATTTATTTTAAAAATTGCACTTTAACAAATACGCAACTAAATCAACATGAATTCATAATTTCTTTAAACTGATTTGAAATCATGCCATTAGTCTGTCAGATCAAAACTATAGCAATAATAACATTTTCTTATATTTCTTTCCGAAACAGACCTTAATTTTGCTTATCAAAACAGAAATTAACTGGATCAATAATACTAATTGCCTTCAATTAAATTTAACACATAATCAGAAACGAATTTCGAGGCAAAACATGTATATTAAAGGAAATCCTAGTAATTTTTTTTTCCACCATTGATATAATTTTGATATCACAATAATTCAGCTATATCTAAGTGAATAATGCCAACAGGCAACAAAATAAGATTTACAACCTGCACTAGATCCATAATATAAGCGCTCTACAATGAAAATGAGCTGCAACATATAATAGTACTACAACAAAGCATGATGTCATACAACCTTATTACGGTAAAAATACAATAAAACCTTGTCAATAATAACCCTGATTTGTTTTTCTCTTTTAGCAATTCCGTTTAAGATGGGTAGATTTAATGAAGAAGAAAAAAATTAATCATATTTATTTTCAAGAGAAAAACTATTCTTTTGTTAAATGTGAATGCCCATGCCAATAGCAAACAACACAATTTGTACAAGTTTCACAATCTTATCAAATAAAACAAAATTCTAACTTTATTTGTTAATCATCTAAATTCAAATAAATACCAAAAGTCACCTTAATATATTTGCAGTAACATAGACAAGGCCCATCTTGTTTACAAACAGAAATGGTTATACGTTTTTTCAAAGTTTTCATTTCAGGGGAAAAAATCCGATTTTTAAGAAGTTTTGAAGAGTAAAAGTACTGAAAATCTAACAAGGTATTAGTGTATTTAGAAAATTGCCTTGGAGTTTGGAAATATATAGGAATGTCTTCCTTAGTAAAATGAAACTACCATAAAAGTATGTACATTGTAACTAAAATTCACAAAATGCTTGATATAAACCCAAATGTTGAAAATCAAAATTAAACAAATAAGCACAAACAATTTTCAAGAATTTAAATGATAATAAACTGAATATCTATTTTTTGTTTATCAACTTTATAATTCATTCTATTCTTATAAAACAACACAACTTGAATGAAAATGAAAATCTGATTAGTCAAAAAGTACAAAAACAACCAAAAATAAATTAAATACAAACAAATGTCTTCCAGTTTTTTTTTCTTCGACTGACATATTCAATTTTCTGAAGAAAAAAAAAATTCTGAAAAAAAAACAAGTCTACAGCTTGATCTCTTTATTGATTGCAATTAACAAAAAATTCCACTTTAATACTGTTAATAAATGGCTTGCAGTGGCCCGTATATTAGAATTACATCCCATGATTATAAAATCAGAAGTTTAAAAAATTCTTTATCAGATGTTTAGCTGTAAACTTTACTGAGCATTCCAATCTATCATATGTTGACAAACATTGAATTCACATAATTAAGGTAGATTGGGTGTCTTTTTCTGAGCATCCATTCTGGACATGTTGCAAAATACTTTTTTAATTTAAAAATGTTTTACCAAGCATCATTCATTATACAACAGAAACATCTAATACTTGCAGTTTTAAGATTAAACTATTTAAACATTAAGTGTCGTTAAGTGTATTCAAAATTTCTGAAAAAATCCTTTTCAAATCAAGGGCCGATGATAATACAGCATTTGATAAGCCCTATATAACCCATATAAACTAACTGTGATTTCATTGATCAATGTATTATATACAAAAAACAAGGTCTGAAATTTAAAAGTATATTAACCCAGAAGTCTTTTACAAAAGTTTAAGAAAAATCTATCATAGAACATTTAGACACCCGAGTCATCGTCAAACATTTAGACACTCAAGCTACCTTACATTTGTAAGGGTCCAAAGATTCTTTTTGAATGAAATATTTTTAACAGTGTGTTAAACAGTTTTAAACATTCTTGTAATTTGTAAGGTCAATAAATAATTTTTGCAATGTTGATTTGATCTACTCATGAAATCATAAAGATCATAGAATACATTGGATCCTAGGAGAATATGTAAGGCCAAAAAAAAATATATGTCTGTTTCCTGTTGCCAAGGCAAATAAATTCAGGCAGGGAGGTAGGGATTTTTTTTTTTGCACGCTTTTCAGAACGTGTGCATGTACATTGTACACATGTTTGATGCACAGCTTTTAAAAACCCATCTAATTTCTCATATTAAAATCATGGCTGTTTTCTCATGATTGACAAAAGAGAGTGGGTCACTCAGTGATTAAAATTCGTAAGGGTTCCGCGGAATCTAGTGTCTCGCCTACTTTTGCTGCTAGTCACAGGCTCAACAAAAATTGGGAAAAAA